AAAAAAAAAAAAACACACACACACACACACAACACACACACACACAACGCCCACAAGATCAAACCTGAACAAAGATCATCTGATTCTGCTATCAACAACCAAAACCCACTTCAAAGGGAAGAAAAATAAAACGGAGATAAGAGGGAGCGATGAAAATTGCCTGTGAAGAGAAGCAAAAAAGCTTAGCAAGTAAGCTAAGGCAGATAAGAGTTTCAATGCCGCGAAAAAGGAAAATGGGAAAGTGAGCTGCGATTTCCTGCGGTTGTATTATAAGGTGATATTCCTGGGCCGTGGTCCGCTGGACTTTTTGGGAGGTGTAGGCCCAATTACAAGTGGAGAGAATAAGCCCCTGAGTCAAAGGAGTCAAAGGAGACATATTTCAATATCTATATTTTATATCGATAACTATAAGATTTTATTATTTAAATAAAAAAAAAATAACTGGACAAAAATAAAAAAAAAAAAAAAGTCTGTCGACCAAAATAAAACAGACGTATTCCCATAATACGTTTTAAATTAAACAACGTATTATGAGAATACGTTTCTAAAGTACAACGTATTCTCATGTTCTGTTTTATAACGAATTAAATTTTTAAACATAATTAACTTAATTACATTAATATAAAACGTAATTAAGAAAATTAAATTAAAATAAAACGTATTTTCATATTACGTTTTATAAGAAACGTATTTTCGAAAACGCTTTAAATAGAAAAACGTATTTTAAATATACGTTTTTTTTTTAAATAAATTTTATATACTATAAATTATAAAAAATTAGTAAAATTTTTAAATACTTTTTTTTTAATTGAAAGGTAAAACGTATTATTAAAATAAAATAGAACACCTGTTTGTCGAAATCAATTCCACAACCAAATATTCAACAACCAAATATTCAACCAAAATATATCAATTTCACAAACAAAATTGAAGCACAATATTCAAAAACCAAATATTCAAACAAAATTGAACCAAAATATATCAATTCCAAATATTCAACCAAAATATATCAATTCCACAAACAAAATGACACAAAAGTCAAGAAAAAAAAATGTCCACAAATTTTCTAATAGTTGCTAGGAGTGAATTGATCCGGAGGTCTGCGCTCCCGGGAGCCCTTCCGACGCTGGTACGTTTGTAAAGAAGACGAGGTTGTGGGCATGGCAGCTTCTTCTGTATCTGAAAATGATATTTTAAGAAAAATTGGAAATTCTACTTTACAATAAATAAATAAATAAATAAATTAAAAATCATATTGTAGTTAAGTAAAAAAATCTGACCTTCTTCTGCTTGTTCCTCAGGCACGGTATTGGGAGGCACGGTGTCGGCAGGCACAGTGTTGGCATCGAGTTCGCGGACACGGCGTCTTCTACGCCCGCCAATATTGGCAGCAGGTCGATGCCCCGCCCGGTGCGACTGCATCGGTTGGGGTTGGACATAGCTCTCTTGAGATAGAACTTGACTCGACGACGTCCCATGCGTGACCCCTTGTCCTCCGACAGTCAGTCCACTTTGGAGCATGTTTTGGGCATTTGCGATTATGGACTGTTGCGCTGGAGTGAGTGCATTATAGTCAAGGGTCGATAAC